GAGAGAGAGAGAGAGAGAGAGAGAGAGAGAGAGAGAGAGAGAGAGAGAGAGAGAGAGACAGGACAGGACAGGTGAGAAGGACGAGTAGAAACTGTTCACTTCACAACAACACACAATGAAATACTTACACAGTCAAGCAGTGCAGTATCCAAGGTGACACTGTCACTGTCATGTGACAGTATCACCTTGACAACATTGATCTTGCTCAGCAAGACTGCCCAGTGCAGTGGAGTCTGTTGCCACTGTAGAGAAAGAGAGAATGTGATGAGTATTGCTATACAACCATTACACTAACTACTACAACCACACACCGACACAGACCTGGACAACTAGAACAAACACAACCATGCACGTGCACACATGAACACACATGCAGGACCACAGGCACATGCACAAACATGAAGAATTACAAGTCATTGTGCACACACACTCGCACACACACATGCGCACAATAACACACGTGAGGCTACAAGATAACACAGGTTGTACAATGAAAGGTCGTTCATGATCAACAGATGTGAGTGCAAACGTAGACACACGTGGGCACAGGACATACGAGTACAAACGATGAACGGATTGTCTTACAGACCTATACACAGACATTTAAGAACATACAAACTGAGAATTCAGTTGAGACAACCAGACTCTAGAGTAACACTTTTTCTTACCTTGCTGTCCTGTGCGTTGAGGCAAGCGCCGCGTTCGATGAGCAGTTTTGCTAAACGTGCATTGTCTGTCACTGCACAGTGGTGTAAGAGAGTACATTTGAACTGACCACACATACACACACACACACACACACACACACACACATACACACATACACATATACACACATACACACACATACGCACACACACACATGCGCACGCACACACACACATACACGCACACATACGCACACACACACACACACACACACACACACACACACACACACACACACACATACATACACATACACGCACACATACACACACATATATACACGCACACACAAACACACAGATGAATATGCAGTACATGTTCATAGGCCAAACACACCAACATGGAAACAGACGTACACACAGAGACACCAGCAAAGACGTACACATGGCAGTGAACCAGCACATTATACTGAACACAGACAATATCTCTAGTCACAATCCAAAACTCAACAACTTACGCCGGTCTTATCTTCTTCATTGACATCAACTGTCTTGAAGTGCAGAATATAGTCGACAAGACCTTGCATCATTTCGTCACCCAAATGTTCACCACAATAGCAGAGAACAAGTATCATCGTGACCTATGTGATATACAAAACAGAAGAAACAATTTGACAATTACAACACTGACAGCAACAATACTCTCAGTACAATGCCATTAGGAGTTAGGAAAACTACTGATTGACCTCAGAGGTCAAAACCAGTCAAATTGTCATAACTTTATTCCAGCTTGAGAGAAGCTTGCAGCAATTGCACATCTTGTAAAGTTATGTCACAGAAACAATTTCCACCAGTCATTATCACTTGACAATTGCACAGACAAGAGAACGGCGTGTCACCACTTGAACATGCATACACATACGGGTACGCGAACACACATAAACATACACGTGCACGCACGCATATATGCAGGTAAGTAAATAGTATACACGGACGCACATGTAGATACACACACACGTACATGCACACACACACACACACGCACACACACACACATACACACACACACACACACACACATACACATACATACATACATACTACATCAACACTCTACTTACTCCTAGTGTGTAGGAGCATGTGCTTGTATAACCAGGTGGTGACCATCTAACTCTCTCTGCTCCTGTACTGTGCAGGAGATGAAGGACGTTGAACACCAACGCCCAAATCTCATGCATCACTCGTCCTTTCTCAGAAACTGCATCAGCAAATTTCTTCACAGTTTCTTCAAGATCTGTACCGTCCAAACAGACACAACATACGAATGACATTTTCACCTCTTCACTATTGTTGGCACATGCACACACGCACGTCATGACGTCATAGAGACGTCCCTTATTTGGACAGTGGCAAGTAATGACATTTTGTCGCCACAGAGTACAGCGTGGCACAGGTATCCTAGCAACCATCATTCACAAACAAGCGTCACAATAACTGTACATACAGCGATATATGGTTGTCAGTGACTGTAGCTGAAAGAGGTGAAGACGATCAATGAACGACATCACGAGGGTGTCTTCACAACACACTGCAACACATGCAATTTACGTTCTTCAACAAAATGACTGAAACGACCGACAAATGTTACACCTCATTGCTACCACTGCCTACGACAACTCTCGACGAAAGAAAACTACTCCACACCTCAACAAAAAACCAATTTAGAAAGAGTAACCACGAAGAAGAAAACGACTGTTAGAAGAAGAAGCTCCAAACCCAATGAACGGAACAATTACACTTTCACTCTTTTCAAGCAACGGAAAATATCGACGGCCAACTTATGATATTCTAGCAATGCCAATGTCCGTCACAACCAGGAACATTGTCCAGTGTCCTGTTCATCAACTCTAACTTCCTTACAAAGAACAAACATGTACTTGATTTACAAGAGGTCAATCAGTAGGTCACTGAATGGCCGTCACGTTGTGACACGAGACTAGGACAGAGACGAAGGTTCACGACAAACGACATTCAAAAACAAAGGAGATGAACGACGGCAAAGCGTAGCCATTGGGAAGAAATCTGTTTTCACTCACAGTCTAGGATGGTCTCTTTCCGTCTCGCTTCCATTGATCACAAGAAACACTACGAACCACTCCCACTCGACTTACTGAATTGCTGGAAATATTTCAATTTGAAACTTTACACGACGAGGAAGGGCACTGCTGAAGTAAAACATCAACATGCAAATACTCTAGTCCAGTACCTATGGCTGAGTTTCAAAACCTCCTCCCTGATGTTCCTAAGACATGAACAAGACTACTAATGAACTGCAAGGAGAGGACGAAAGTCTTGACGAGCAACCAGAAAGTATTCAGCTGCGCGACGGGAAAATGTGAGGGATCAACTGACTGAACCTTTGAACTCTGACCTTTAGCTTGCTAGCTATAGCGCTCTGTTGATGTATGGTAGATCTACATTACAGACAGCAGTAGACTGCTTGATACAAAATGTATTACTGTGGATGACTAATCGGCACTGACTCTTTCTATTCTACAGTGCAGTGTTCGCTAGCACTAGCTACACAGCCTACTGACCCTAGCCTACGTGCGTACATGTACATACTTGGTATGGTTACGTCATAGATAAACGTTACTTTGATACAACATTCAACAAGGACTCTAACGAAGTCTCAGACATCAGAGTCAATAGAGAGGTTCCGGAATACGATTTTTCGTGCCAAAATCCGTAGAGGCGCTACGGATTTTTTATACGTCGTTTTCGAGCAGTGAAATGTTCCCGAGTACGGAACTTGTGTGTTTGCCGTCATTGCCTAGGTTACGATCGCAAACACGTCACATTCTCGCGCTATGCCTTTTTATTTTGAAAATTTGTACCGAAATCAAAACTACCCGCCGAAAATCGATGTTTCTCGTACCAAATTTGTACGCGAAAAATCTTTCTGCACCGGATGACGCGAAATCTCCATGCGAAACATGGTCCGTATGAAAGCCAGTCCACACTGATTCTCCGTGCCGAAAAATCGTATGGAGCACGCCTCGAAAAAATCCGTAGAGCCTATACGGATTTTGGCACGGAAAATCGTACCCCGGAACCTCTCTATTGCTGCGTAGCATCTGTGTCTGCGCATAGCACTGGTCAGTAGATCTACTGGGGACTAGGCCAGAGACACCACACAACACTCTACAGACCAGAAACAAAGTGCAATTTTGGAATCAACTAATTGATCAGTACAGTGGCCTATGCAATGCACGGCCGGTCGAGATCACGACATGATCTACTGACCCCAAACACGGTCATACTGTGATCAACATAGCCATGTGCAAGAGTACAGAAATCTCCGCGGTCCAAACCAATCAAATACAAATGCGACCACCGGTATGTCTACCGCCTACCGGGTCTAGCATACACTCTTCTGGTCGGCGTAAACTGAATCCTATGCCAGAGCGCTTCTATGGCCAAAAGAGTGGTAGAATCTGACACTCCGTGACTGCGTGTTATTGGATACTACTTTAGGCCTTGGCGGATTATGCTAGCATAATTTTTCGCATAATTCCTACCAAAATCGAATAATCGCATAATTCGAGGCAAATTGCATACGAATCGCATAAATCGGAATAATCCGCCTGTTCGCATCAAATTCCATACAGTTGTACATGTTCTACAAGTACAAGTACAAGTTGATGCACCACGAAGGCGTAGGTTTACGACTTCCTTAATAACATGTCCAGTCCACTACAATCAATGACGGTCGTAGCTAGGTCGGACGGTGCGTTGACCCCGTTGAACTTTTGCTACTACAGTACAACGCCCTCTACAAAAATTCCCCTGTTATTTTGCACAGAACAATTCAGGGGCGTAGCACCCGCTACGACTGGTACGACCATGGCCGTACCACTTTTCGAAAAGTGTGGTCCGTCCGGAACGTGCAAAACCGTAATAAAAAAAATCAGGATCCATCGATGCATATGCGCATCAGACTTTGACCTTTTTTCTAGACTCTTCGTAGATCTGTTATGCATCTGCAGTCGTACTGAGTATTGACACTACAAAAATGTAGTCACTACTGTACTCGACTCGACTGCACACTGCGCCAGAAGTTCCCAGAACGCAGGATTTTGTGTCTTTTTTACAAAATTTTCCCGGGGGAGGTCCCCCGGACCCCCTCCAACACGGCCTTCAGCCGCACCGACCTTCGGTCGTACCACTTTCAAAACCCCTCCTACGCCCCTGACAATCATAATTATACATTAGCAGCTTATGTGAGCATAATGGGGTATAATAAGTATAACGTTTAGCATAAAAATAGCATAATTCTGCAATTTTTTCAGCAATGCGAAAAGCATAATTTCACGAAAATACTAGCATAATCCGTCAAGGCCTATACTACTTGGAATAGTAGATATCTTTGTCGCTGCATTCTCTTGAATTCTCAATTATGAAAGTGACATAGATCTACCGTACACATCTCACATGCCTACTAGTGTGTGTTCAGACAATATCCAGTAGACTGTGGGAGAGAGAAAGAGCCACACGTCCATTCAGATAAAAAATTAATGATCTTTTCAGACAAGGTCAAAACACCCCACACACAGTGACACACACACGCACACACACAGAAACGCACGCACTCACTCACACGCGCGCGTAGATCTACGTACCTCGTTGCGATTTTGCTGCAGGCTGAGTTTGAGAGGCAGCGGCGGCGGCAGGTTTGGTTGGTTTCCGGCCGGTAGCAGAGGGAAGTAGTCTGGTCATTTCGCGTCCGTCAGAGGACACAACAACATCTTCTGAATGGTGCTTCATATGAAATTTAGGTGAAGGCATCTTGGCAGTTAAAGGTTTTTGTTCTTACGAAAAGCAAAGAATCAGTAGTCAGTATGAATTGTACTGCAGAAAATCTAAAACTTATACTAAAACAAAAAAGGAGATAAAGGATGATCATGACAGTGTACATGTAGTAGCTGGTAACATAGTAACAGTACGGGTTGGGTTTTCTTGCCAGTCTCGCTGTGTGCAGGGGAATATCACACGCACGTTCCCAGCAACACTCAGTCTGACACACTCAGGAAGGCAAAGTGCTACTTTCATGGCACTTCGCCGCTCTTGTCTAGTAACTTGATACAGTATGCACACGTTGGAGGTTGTGGAATGCGGAAATTGAAATCTCTCGGATCATCAGTGACAGTCCAGCTGGCCAGGCAGCAGTCCACGGTACACGTACATGATTGTAGAGAATCCTATCTTGGATATCCTAATATGGACTCACGTACAGTATGGTATTTACACTGAGCGACAAAGTTACTCTACTGTTTCCTTCACAAGAATGGGGGCCGTACATGCTGTGTGGAATAGCAACCAGAGTCCGCAGCGGCAATGGCGTACAGTGTCAGTAGTAGTAGGGCTGGATGAAAAGTCAGTGTTACATGTAGTCCGTACAGACTGAGTATAAGTTTGAGTGACTGAAACAACGACTTGTTTGCCTTCCGCAGGACCGCAGGGCAGTCCACGTTTTGCTACAAGGAGAAAATTCACAATCTCATACACAACTCGGTCTATGGATGGTCGTGAGGTACATGACACTGTGCATAATCATTGCGGACATGTACATATAAATCCCCCCCCCCCCTCCCCCTCCCCTACCCCCGTAGAAGCAAGCTTGGAAGGAGATTAACGAAAACAGGTTTGCACCACCGGCTATACAATTTCATGGAGAACCTCAAACAGCTATTAGTTTCGCATGTGCCAGGCCACCACCATGCTGCAAGGGGATTACAAGTAGTACATCTTACCATTATGATAATTACCACATCAAATGCTGCGGAGACCTATCCAGAATCGGCAATATGCTGGCCCTGGCCTGGAGATCTGCAACTACAATCAGCTTCTACTTTGCAACATTAACGTATAAGTCTCCTTTTGTCGATTGATGGATCAATCGGTAGATTCGGCTCTGTTTTTCTTTCCTTTCTTTCTTGCTTGAATTGTATGTTGAACTCATTGGATTTCTTTGTATTCTGTATCTCGTTATCGTTATATTTTCCTCTAGCCCTCTCGCTTAGGATGAGCTTTCTTTTTATGGCAGCTTAAGGTAGCAGTACTGGAAAACGGGTGTCAGATTTAGCCAAAATATCAATTTCACGGGAACTGCTTCAAGTGTGATTTTTCTGAAAGAAGAAATACCAAAGGGTCTACAAATGAAATTTTTTGGCATTCGAACCAGCCAAAGCAGAGATATGGCCCTTCAAAAACTGAAAATACCCGTCAAAATTTCAAAATTGCACTGATCAGCTGATCGATGTCAATCTATTTCGAGAGGGTTTCTGTACAATATCAGCGCATCCTGGCCAATCTCGGCCTGATTCACACTATCTGTCCAGCTAAAACCAGTTTAGAGCTGGGCTGAGTGTCGCGATCGCCACATGCAGCGCCTGCCTGGCCCAAGCTAGCTCAGTGGCCTGAGCTACGTAGCTGACTGGCCTGCACTGTACTCAACCCACGCAATTTTTAATTGTATTTTCAAAAATGATAAAAAAATTCTTTGTTCTCAAACTGTTTGCCAATGCGACGAGCGTTTGTCATCGACGTTGGAGCTCTGCGCTTGAGTTGTTGTGCTGGCGCTACTTGGTCAGGAGACGGGTGATGAACACAAACGAAGGTCGCTCAGCAGGCCAAGGAAAAGCAAATTTCCTAGAGTTACGTCCAAGCTCGTTTCAAGTCCCGAAGTATTTGAGCCAATTGAGGGGAGTGAAAGCGAACACGAGTCGCAGGCTGATGGAGCTGGCGAGGGCGTAGAAGATGACTCTGATCTTCCAGCTGATTTTTATCCAGTGATGCCTCGTGTGATAACGATGGAGATTAGTCTGAAGAGGATTGCGATGATATTCCATCAGGAATTCAAATTGTTCACATGGAGAGCTTACAGCAATTGGTGACGTCAGCGTGTGTATGTAGTAATTATCAAGAGGGCAACCTGACTATCAAAGATAATTTTCGTCATGGCCTCGCCTCAACAATTAGTTTGCAGTGCGAATCGTGCTGCTCATCAACCAGTGTAGCCCTGGCAGAAAGACACCCACTTGCTAAATTGTACGATATAAACCGCCGCCGCAGTGTGCTTGCCATGCGCCTTATTGGTAGTGGACGAGAAGGTCTGAACAGTATCTGTGGGATATTGGATATGCCGCCTCCTGTTAGCAAGTCCAATTCTGGGCACAGCGATGCACTACACACTGCTGTGGAAACTGATGCTAGGGACAGCATGAAGAGTGCCGCACAGCGTCTTCTTGTTCGGCGAACAAGAGAACAGCATTCCCACCCGGAGCATGTTGCAGTTAGCACCGATGGAACGTGGATGAAGCGCGGATTCTCATCAATGTTTGGTATGCCAACTGTTGTGTCCTATGAGACAGAAAAGGTTCTGGACGCGGAGGTGCTATCAAAACACTGCAGTGGATGTGAAACTTGGAAGAACAGATGGCAAGCAAGAAAGATTTCTAATGCTGAGTACGAACAATGGAAATGTTTTCGGCTGTGCTGGAAATGATGAGCTGCTCTAAGGGTTCACTTGCCAGCTCTGGTTTTCTCAAGTTGGATGAAGAGAAGCAGTATCACAGGAGGAGAAGGTCCAGTGAGGAGCAAAAGTCAGCCAGGAAGAGAAGATGAGCCATTCGAAAGGGATTTGCTGACACGATACAGCAAGCAGAGGTAGTCACATACATTGCTGGAGGGTTCTCAGAGTGCCAAAAGTTAGTGTTTTTTGGCCTTCCGACCAAACTTTGGTACACTATATCTCCAGACTGGCTCATCACAGCCCAATAAACCTTATATGTAGATTGATCAGTGGAAAATTTCCCAGATGCTGAATATATTTATAAAGCCATAGTTTTTTGTTTGGCGGATGTTAGCTGCCTTAGTAGTAATAATCTTTTTCGACGGTGACGGGCGTCTTCACAGATGATGTTGACTGGGTGGTGCTATTTGTGTCCTATCTCCAATCTGTTCTATTCAGCATCTGCTACTGTTGTAGACTGTCGCTTGTGATGCATTTTTAACACTTCAGCTGATATTATGTTGCTGCTAGCATGTACCAAAAATCTGAGATGACGGCATTTTTTTACTCTCCAGTGCAGTGAACTTTTGGGACGATGCGAAGTAAATAAGTTCAAGGTAGTACTTTTATTAGGTGGTGGCGTGAATCATGAATCTGTGCTCAAAATTTTGTGGGAAAAGATTCACAGACAGCGAAGTAATACCCGATTTTAGTTGTGTGTATTTGCGAATGGCATATTCCAGTACTGCTACCTTAAGCGAAGGCTATATACCAGCTTTATGCAGGTTGATGCCAACGCGAACAAGCAAAATAATAATAAAAATCTTTCCACGTCGAATGTCGTATGGTGTACCATGGACTGGTCAGACTGTACTGCTGGGAATGCATAATTCAATTAAATAATTTCAGCTTTCCTGCTGACGGTGACTCACCTGCCACCATGTCCCAATAGTGCAATGCCCTGTGCAATACACAATAATTGATTGTAGCAATTTTGAAGATATAACGTGTACAAAGTTCAACTCGGATGGTGAGCCAAATTAACAAAAATTATGGTGAAAAAGGAGAAAGACAAAATGTTACGAGTTAGGACTAACTGTCCACCAACGTAACCAGATCTTATACAGTCAGCGAGTGCGACAAAATAGCACAAAACTGACAAGGAGTACTGAGACATTCGGCGACCTGACTGTATAAGATCTGGTTACGTTGGTGGACAGTTAGTCATAACTCGTAACATTTTAGTCTTTCTCTTTTTCCTCATAATATAAAGTGTATCTGGTCTACATGTATACCGGGACTATTTTGTTCAACTGTCCTACTCGAAACAAGGAAGATGATTGGACCAACACCTGACATGATTTTTTAATTTCCCTCCCAGTGGTATCTTCCTTTGTCATGTCAAATTGAGCATCTATGTCTCATCCACTCCCCCTCCCCCCTCCCTAACTCTTTCTCTCCTCTCCTCTTCGAAGTCGTGTCCTTGCGAGTAGACACGTTTGTCAGTTTGCTTCAACGCACACATGTAGAAGTGAAACAACAACGAGTAGGCGTCTGCTGCACTTTCTTGTCCAAAGGTTGACACCTGACCGCTTGGTGCAGCGCAACCTCCATCATGATCACCTGGTCGGCTTGTGTGTGTGTGTGTGTGTGTGTGTGTGTGTGTGTGCGCGCGCGTGTGTGTGCGTGTGTGTGTGCGTGTGTGTAGGTGTGTGTGTGTGTGTAGGTGTGTGTAGGTGTGTGTGTGTGCGTGTGTGTAGGTGTGTGTGTATATGTGTGTGTGTGTGTGTGTGTGTGTGTGTGTGTGTGTGTATGTGTGTGTGTGTGTGTGTGTGTGTGTGTGTGTGTGTGTGTGGCCAGAGTCTTTTCACTCGCGTGCACCAGCGGCTCGAAAGGTTGTTCTGTCTCTGGGAACGTGGAACGTCAGGACTCTTGTCGACACTGACGGAAATTTGAATACGGCGTCCAAAGCAAAAAAATCAAGGAAAGTTTGTTCGAATATTCGCGAGGAGAGAAGGACGTGGTGCGGACCGACCTGGCGGCAATTGGCATTGAGCCCAATTCCTGGCTCGACGTGGCAAGTAATCGCCGTTCCGCCGCCGTCAGGATATCGCACGGCATCGTTGTACATCGCGGCGTTCAATAGCAATTAACCCGTGGGAATGCGCCGTCGCGTCAGTCGTCGGGTCCTGGTGCCGCTTCCCGGAGACAGCGCTAATCCAAGAGCTGCCCCGTATGGGGCCACTTAGACAGTCATGGCAGTGGAGAAGAAGGAAGGAAGGTGTGTG